AGAAAATGAATTTACTGATGCACGACAAGATTTATATGAACTAGAAGTAGAATATGCCAATCTTGCTTTTGACAATACAGCTGAAGGAGAGTCAATGACAGCACAATAAGAATTATTTTTTGTTAGTAATTCCTTAGTTTAAATTTTTTATTTAAAACAGAGAAAAGACGTTCAAACTTTCTTTAAGTAAGATGAATTAATTTAAAAAAAAAGATATCTATCTCGCCAAAGATAATAAATAATTTTTGTAACTTATTTTTGTAAAAAGACACAATGAATAATTATTAAAGTTAACAGAAACAAAGCACTATTCAATAGAACAAATAAAAGAAGGAACGGAAAGTTGATTTTTTGTTTGTTAATCCATTTTTATTTTTTTTTGTATTTATATTAGGTAACTTAAAACTGTGCAAAAACAGTGCTATGGAAAAGTTAGCTACTCGGTTAAGAACATCAGCTATTTATGGTTATTATATGAAATATAGACTTCTTTGTCATAATAAATTAATAAGATTCTTTATTGGTGAATTAATTGGTAGTTATTATTTATTCTATCTTACAAATTGTACTGCTTACCTTAATTATCCAGCATACATTTGTTCTCTTTTAGTTATTTTTGGATTAGGACCAATTATTGAAATTCTCTCACCAGTGTGTAATGGGCAATTTAATACTGGTATCTCTATTGTTTTCTTTCTTAGAAGAGGACAAACTTTTTGGCAAACAGTAGTTAGTATTATTGCTCAATTTTTAGGTGGTTTATTCTCTGTTTTAACTCTAAACCTCTTCTTTACTGATAGTCTTATTGCTTTTTCTTCTAAGACATATAGTTTTATCCAAGTTCTTTCTGAATGTTTTGGCAGTTTCATATTAATATTTGTATTAATGCTAATTACTTATAGAAAACAAAGTGCTGCTCTTCTTATTCCTGGAGTGATTGCTGCTGGGTGTATTGCATTACCAAGTGGAATGATTGTCAATCCATTTATTGTTGTTTGTCGATTAATTTCCAATTCAAACAATAACATTTCATGGCAAAGTTGTTTAGTATTATTATTCTCTGAATTTATAGGATTTGCACTTGGTTTTTTAACTGGAGAATTTATTCTTGTTGAAGGAGAGCGTGAAGTTCCTGAAAATTATTATAAATTAGAAAATGTAGAAATAAAGTCAGAAACTTTAAACCAACTTGAAAGTGTTTTCGTTGATTCTCAACAACCAATCAATGAAGAAATTCCAATGAATTAAAATTGAACGTTTAATTTTTAGATTAAATTTTATCTTCTTCATTTTATTCGTATACTTTTTTCTTTTAAGTATATACGTATAAAAAAACATATCTCTATATTATATTTTCAATGTTTAAATTCTTTATAAAGTTATTGTATTAAAAAATATAAAAAGTCAATTGAAATAAAAGGAACTGCACAGTTAAGGGAGGATTTTTACGTAATGAGAAGATACCCATCCTCTACTTCCATCAATGGTTTCAGCACCAAGCCATCCTTCTGGATCAGAATCATCAAAAATAATAATTTTTTGACCTCTTTTAATAGATAATTCAGTTTCAGTTGAAGAATCATAGTCATGAAGAGCAACAGCATATTTTTCAGGTGGTACACAAGCTCTTATTTCATTGTCATAAATTTCTTCTGGTGCAATATCATCATCTTCATCATATTCTTCATCAGAATATTCACCTTCTTCTTCTTGATCATACTGCTCATCCTGTTGGTCATATTGTTCTTCTTCTTCTTGATCAGGCTCTTCTTGTTGTTGATCAGGTTCTTGTTGAATAATAGGTTTTGAGTAATTAGTAACAGGTGGAGGAGGTGGTGCAGCGATACTAATTTTAGATGGAGGAGGAGGAGGTGGTGCAGCAACGACAACACCAGTAGTAGTATTTGAAGTAGTAGTTACAGTGATAGGGGCTGGGGGAGGTGGTGCAGCATTAACAGGAGTAACAGGTGTAGAAGAGGAGGTTGTAGTTTTTTTTTTATCTTCTTTCTTTTTATCATGATGATGATGATGGCGTTTTCCAGTGTCATGTTTTTTACGTTCCAAAGGAGGAAGACCTTTTGATTTTCTTACTTGATTAATTAATTTTCTAAATGAATCTTTCCAATATTCACCATCTTCTTCTCCTTCTACAATCAATTTCCAAGTTCTTTTTTCAGTTACTAATTGAAATCCATATCTCATTGATCCATCTTTATCTTTATTTCTTGTAGTAATCATATCGGTAACTTGAGACATATCTATGTGTCCTTTTAATGAACTGCAAGAGTCATTAGTATAATAGTCTAATCTGAATGGATTACGTGGAGTAGTTTGGAACCATCTTTTCTTCCAGCTTTTATGTGAGCCACCTTGTTTTGTTACCCAACCACGAATGGCTGGAATGGAGTCTTCATCAATATCGAAGCTCATAATTATATATATCAAATTTTAAAGTTCTAGTTCTGTATATTTTTATAGAAAATAAATGGAATTTTATTTTTAATATTTATATTATTCTTTTTAAATACATTTTCTCTTTTCTCATATATCGGTTTTTATTACTACTTCAAAATATTATACTTGTTTGGGTTATTAATAACTACTAAGCAGTTATTGATTGGTTCATTTATTAGTTATGTTATTGTTTTATCTTTTTTATAACTCTTTGAAGAAGATTCTTTTAAGTTAGAAAAAGTAATGACTGTTTTTTTAACTATTTATATTTTTATCATTATCTTTTGTCTGATTATATTATCCCAATATCAACTCCGAAAAAAAATAGAAAAAAATATTTAAATAATCAATAATTAGTATTTTGTTATAGAAATTCAAAAAATAAAACAAAAGATTTAAAAAAAAGTTATACCAAAAAAAGAAGAACTTTTTTGTTTTATGTAGCATACATTTTATTAAACTGGGTGTTTTTCCTTTGTATTGATTTAAAAAAAAAGAAAAAAAAAAGAATTTTAAAATTATTTTAACTCTTTATGAATCAATTCACTACTGATGATATTATTAAAGATTTAGAATGTCTTAATAAACGTATTCATAGTAAAGAATGTACCAAAAAGAAAACAGTTACAATTGAGTCGATACCATTTACTGTTGGATATTTAAAAAAAGAAGAGGAGTTTGCGATTATTCAGATTCAATCTTTTCAGTAATAAAGAGATAGTTAAAAATATTGACAAGTTAGGTTGGATGTTATTGTTATTGAAGGAATTATTCCTATAAAGACTATTGAATTATATAAATTCTTTTTACACTTTGAGACATATGTACAATACCTTCCTTTTATTTATAAGTTAAATTTTATTCAGAAAGATAATATTTTTGATTTAATTGTAGAAATGGAATTTAATTTAATTGGATTTAATAAGAATGCTCTTTGTCTAAAAAGAGTTATCAAAGAATTTACAGATAAAACATATATTCTTTCATTGAGTATTACTCATGATAAATCAAAAATTATTCCATTTAGAGATAGTGCAATATTAATGCAGGCAATTACTCTTGAAGAAACTAAAGATGGTTGTCTTATATCTGATTATGAAATTATTCAACCTATTCCTTGGCTACAATCAAATGACCTTAATGAATCTCTTGAAAGGTTTAGTTATATCCCAATTAGAAGAATAAAATCATGTTTTGATTATTTAAAATATGATAAAACTGTAGAAAGAATAAACATAATTAATGCTATTACTACTGAGCGTATTGGTCTTGAACTAACTCTAAATGGAAAACATGACAGTGTTGGAGAAGTTTGGTATGATTCTAATAATACAAGAATTACATGTGTTGAATTTGTATGTGATCAGGCATCATTTATTGTTGAAGGTTCAATTCAAAAGATATGTGAATTTAGATTATCAAGAAAAACACTTATAGAACTAGTCTTTCAAGACCGTTGTAGAGTAATAGAAACAGCTGATAGTTTAACAACAATATTTCATAAGTCATGTCCTAAGTCTTATCAAAATGATGGAGAAGACATTTCATTTTCTTCTTTTATTTATTCAGAAAAATGTGCTTTAGTTCATTTTAAGAGCTTATCCACCCTTTCTTCTCAAGAAGAAAATAAAGGGATTCAAAAATATAATTTTGGTCCAAGTTACATTTATGTTTGTGGTTGTGAAGGAACTTGGAATATTCAATTCAATGTTAAAGTAATTGCTAAAACCTCTTTACCTCGTTTAAATGATAAAGTAGCTTTACATGCTATGTTAGAATTCTTAAGAAATATCGAACTTTCTTTTCAAAACGTTTCTCCTGTTCAAAATTATAAACAACCATTAACAATTATTACAAGTACAGACCCATTTATTCCTCCATTATTAAAAATTCAATTACCTTTAATGGTTAAAATAAGTCGGTATTTTACTAAAGAAGATATCACTGCACTTTCTCGAACAAACAAACAACTAAAAGCAATGATGGAATACTGTAGTAAACTTATAATTCAAAATAAGCAACAACAACTTCATCCTTTTTATAACACACAACATTCTCTGCAAAATTATTCTCAATGTATTTATGAAGAATGGAAAGAAGCGACTCCAAAACATTCAATATTAACAGGTCATACAAATTTAATCCGAGCATTAGATATTAGTGATGATTGTTCATTATTAGTTAGTGGAAGTTCTGATAGAAAAATTAGACTTTGGAATTTACAAGATGAGTCATCAAGAACATTTGTTGGTCCAAATAGTTGTTTGGTATCCACTAAATTTGTTATGGATAACTTCATTGCATCTGGATATCATTGTGGAACCATTAAATATATTAATTGGTCAGACTCTCGTGAGTCTCAAGTTTTTGATGTTAATGAAGGTAAGTTAGAGGGATTTCTTCCATTGAAGGATATGGACTTTATTGTTTGGAATGAAAAAATAATGGGATATAGATATTCTGACATGAGACAAACTTTATTATTTACATACTCTGGTCATCAAAGAAAAGTTCAAATTGTAAAACCTTTTAATTCACTATTTCTTAGTGGCTCTGCTGATAGAACTATTCAATTGTGGGATCCTTCAATTTCTAGTCCAAGAATATCTAAAATAAAAGGACATAAGTCAGGTATTGTTGGACTTGAACAAATAAGTCCTTACACTTTTGTTTCTGCTGGAAATGATAGATTAGTTCATTACTGGGATATTAGAGAGTTAACACACCCAACTCATTCTGTTAAGAAAAAAATTTGTAATATGACTTATAATAATGAGACACTGATTTGTGGTGGTGAAAGTGGAGAAGTTTATATTTTTCCAACTGACAACCCAGCGCAGTCTACCACTTTAAACTCACAAAATACCTCTGGACTAATTAGTATTGCTTCAAAAAAGAATATTATTTGTTGTGGATTTAAAGATGGTACAATCTCAATGTGGAAATATTGATTATTTGTTTAATTTAAATATGAAAAATGTACACTTTTTTGTTTCTTTTTTTTCTGTACTAAATGATTTGATTTATTTTAATATACAAAGTGATGCAATCTATGAATGTATTTATTAAACTCTCTATAACTTATAGTAAAGTATTAATATAATGCTTCATGAAATTACATATAATCCACCATACCGATAAATAAAGACAAGGAAAGGAATATGATCGATTTTTATGACTCATAAATCATTCATTAATACATTATACCATACCTATTAGGAATAAATGAAAACATAGTGAAGATATTGTTAAAAAGAAAGAACAAACACAAAGAACAAATGATAATTTTGAATAAATGAAATAATAATGATGTATTAAAAAAGAATAAAATGTAATATATCACAAAATAAAAATAAAATTTCTTTTATTTAAAAAGTAGGCAATGAAGTATCAATAGAACCGTTTTTATTGTTGGTTATTATGAGGAGAGTAGTACTATCAAATCTTTATTGTTTATTATATTTATAGAGTATGTTTGATTGTGAAATAAACAATGTTCTATGATATTCTTCTTATTCTTAGTCGCAACATTTTAACTTCTTCAATGTTCTTTGTTTCATTTGTTAATTATTTAATTAATCCAATTCTTTCTACAAAAAAAGATGCATGACAGGGGATACCACAAAAGTATAGAAAAATAAATAATCAAAGAAGAAGAAATTCACATCAGCCAAGAAAAATAAATGATAGAAGATCAA